TCTCTCTCTCCCTTCTTTCCTTCCTTCCTTCCTCTCCCCCTTCTCTCTTTCTTTTTCTTGCTTTCTCTCTGTCTCTTGCTTTCTTTACTCCCCTATCCCTGCTCCCCCTTGCCTTCCTACCCTCTCCCCATTCAAAAAAAAAAAAGAAACAAAAAACCAAAGCCCTTATAACAAATATACATGGGGAAGTAGAACAAATTCCCACACTAACGGTGTCTGAAAATGTGCCTCATCAACTCTTACCAGTACTACTGCTAATTGTTCTCCTTCCCTCAGGTCTCTCCCCTCTTCAATCCACCTTAGTGAAGCTGCCAAAGTGATTTTCCTAAAGCATAGATCTAACCACATAATTACCATGCTCACCAAATCCTAGTGGCTTTCTATTGCCTCTAGGATTGATAAATGCCTCTGCTTTCACATTTAAAGTCCTCCACTTCCTGGCCCTGTTCTATTTCCCAGTCTTCTCATACATTACTCCACTTCATGAGCTCTACGGTCTAGCCAGACTGGTCTTATTTTTCCTCACTCATCTCTCACCTCCAAGTCTTTGCCCTGGCTGTACCCCTGCCTGGAATGCACTCCCTCCTCATCTCCATCATTAAAATTTCTACATGATGCCTTTTCTGATTCCCCCTATTACCCTGTATTGATTTTATGTCACACACACACACACACACACACACACACACACACACACACACACACACACACTTGTCTTTCCTGATGGAAGGTAAGCTCCTTAAACCTGGGAGTTTCATTTTTGTTTGAATTCCTGGCACCTGGCATATAGTAGATGCTTAATCCATTTTTGTTGATTGAGTGGTCACTTAACCTCTTGCAGATTCATTTTCTTCATCTGTAAAATGGAGATGTTAATACCAGTATCACTACCTCCCAAGGGATAGTGTGAAGATCACTTGAGAACAAGCACAGAAAACGCTCTCCAAACTTTAAACTACTGAGTCCCCAGAAATCCCCTCCTCTTCCCTCCCCCTCCCCCTCCCTTCCTCTCTCATCCTCTCCCCTCTCCTCCCTTCCCTTTCCTTCCCTCTCCTTCCTTCCCCTCTCTTCTCCTCCCCTCCCTTTCCTCCCTTTCCCCTCCCTTCTCTTTTCCTCTCCTCCCTTCCCCTCTTATCCCCTCCCCCCTTCCTTCCCTCTCCTTCCTTCCCCTCTCCTCCTCTCCCCTCCCTTTCCTTCTCTCTCCTCCCTTCCCCTCTCCTCCCCTCCCCTCTCTTTCCTTCTGTTTCCCTCCCTTCTCCTTTCCTGTCCTCTCCATTCTCCCCAGACAGGGTGACCCTCCCCCTCTCAGCTGACATTTTCTGCCTCTGCTGTTGTGCTGCAGCTGCCCAGTAGCCTCAACCCTATGGCTCAGGTATCCGAGAAGAGGATGCTGCCAGCTGCCTCTCTAGATCTCTCAATGGCCTGTACCAGAGGAAAGAAGCCACCAGTGGAGGCAGCCCTATTCCGGGCACAAGTCTGCCTAGGAAGCCGTGGGCTCATACCAGATGGAGGGAGGTAAAGTCTCCCCACTCCCCTCCTTCCCTGGCCAACCTGCTGGAGCTCCGAGGAATCTGAGCCAGAGGGCTGGAGACGGCCCCTTTTGTAGATCTGTTGCAGTCTGAGAGGTTGTGACGCCTCAAAGACTGAAGTACACGACGGTCATCTGGAATGAATTCACAGACAAGCATTCTTTAAGTCAAGTTGGCAAAAAAGTTTATTGTTATGCTTTTCAGTGAGCAAGGATTCTTAAAGGATCCTACGATCTTAGATGGGTACAGTTAAAGTTTATATAGGATAAAATACAATAAAACACGTGCAAAATATGCTAACAAGGTGATTCAGGGTGGGATTAGGGAATGGTTAATGAGTGGTCAGTTCTTAAAAGAACATGCACTTCTTGTACCTACTGCGCAGACATTCTACCCAGAGTTCAGTAGGAAAAGCCCACAAAGGGGGGCCACATGGAGGTGTGGTTTTCGGCCTGCTACATCACTAAGTTAACTAGTGGTCAGGGACAACTGAGAGTTGCCCAGTCTGCCGCCAGTCAATGTCTTGTTTGACAAGATAGATGTAGGGAGTATACATATGTCTTAAGTCTAGAATACAGATAAGGAGGAGTCCAGGATGTAGATAATGAGGTAGGGCGGTAGTATAGATAGTCCAGTAGGTAAAAATGTCTTTATGACCCAGTGCAAAGCCAGTTCAAACTAATAATTCCTTCAGGTGCTGTTTGTAACTGCACCAGGGAAAGAGGTAAGGGTCTTGCTGGGGCCCACTCATGTATAATTGCTAGGCACAGTGTCCTTGGGCTGGGGAGAAACTGTCAGGGATAGTGTTTCTGAGGCTAAGGAGAAATTGGGGTCCAAGTACAAGCACCCAAGCACCCCATCAGATCCAGAGCTCCCACTCAGCAACCACCGAAAGGAACCATCTTGGCTACCAGGAAGGGGTCAGAGAATCTCCACTCCTGCTCTGAAGGGGGAGAAGGACCCCCCTGCCACCCCCCCAAAGGACTGCTGTACAGTGGATTACATACACTCCTACAGCATCCATACACAATCATTCATTAAAAGCACAGATGTCACTGGAATCATAGATTTGAGCTAGAAGGGACCTCATATAGTCAGAGGAAGAAACTGAGACCAAGAGAGGTCATGGGACTTGCCCAGGGTTATGAAGGTAATAAGTAGCTGAGTCAGGATTTGAACCCTGATCTTCTCCACCCAAACTCAGTCCTCTTTCCGTTGGATCACAGCACTTCTAATAAGTATCTGACCACCACACCTGGCTACACTTTCTGAGTTTTCTGACTTGGTCACCTGAGACTTTGGAGAGGAATGCGAAGGACCACCTAGGACAGGGCCCTCAAGAAAACGACCTCATGTCCTCATGCACACCCTCCCCAGTCAGTGGCATGGATGGACAGCACAGGCTGCACTCAAGATTTTACTCCTCAGTAACATTTATTGAATATCTTCTCTGTGCCAGGCACCTCACTAGGGATACAAAAAGAGGCAAGAGACAGTTCCTGCCCTCAAGGAGCTTACCATCTAATTTGCATTCAATGCACCTTAATTGAGGTTCAGACATTACATTCATTGCAGGTTACCACTTTGGAGATGGCAACCCTTTCTGACCTTCTCACCCTTTCCATATAATTTTTAAATCTACACTAAGATATATCTTTTATTCTACAATTTTCAAAAATGCCCATTGCATAAGAGGATCTTCAACCATGTTCCCTTTAATTCTGTATTTAATCTGTATTTAGCAATTATGCAAAAGCAATCAGAAGTAATGTAAATCTTGACATGGTGACCTTCAAATGGTCAAACTCCCTTCCAAAACAAAATGTCAACTCTTCAGCCGTTCTGCAACGAGATTTTCATTCCTCCCCTACGGGGGGGGGGGGGGGGGGGGGGGGGGGGGGGGAGCACTGACAAGCTACAGAGAAAACAAAATAAAGTCAAGTCATTACCCACCTTCCAGTTCACTGGCCATTGCTCAGGTGGCACACTTTAGCCCTTGTGACCTTGCTCCAAGGGTCATAACTCTTGTGTGTTATGGACGCTTTGGCAGTCTGGTGAAGTCTATGGACCCCTCCTGAGAATATTTTTTCAAAATTCATAACTGAAGGAAATGCTATCTTTCAGCTAGAGGTTAATGAAAACTAAGATATCATTTTCTTTCCTTCTAAGTTCATGGACTCCCTTGTGTCCAAGATCTAGTGTTTCTCCCCTTCTCCCTCCATTGCACTACACTGCCTCTCAAGTGGGAGTTATAACTAGGGTAGGGTGATCTGGGCTTCATCCCAGGGAGCTAAAATTTACAGGGGTCCTAACAGTCCTTTCGGTCTTTCGGTAGCAGTTTTGGCACTTATTTAGCAAGAATAATTAAACTAGGAGGCTGTCCATGGTGGTTTCCTCTCTCAACCAAGCTAATTAAATGCCAATGAAGTTGTCCAGCCTGGCTCTAGGATGTTACTAATGAGGAAACATGGGCCCAAAGGGATGAAGTGACTTGGCCAAAGTCACACGGGTAGTTATAGACAGAGCATAGATTACAGTCCAGTTCTCATGACTCCTGGTCCACAAATCTTTCCATTACACTGTGCTGTCTCTCAGGAGTAATTCTGACCCTTCCGTGAAGATGCTTGGACTTGGTAACAACATAGATTGTTTTACCCACTGAATGACCTTAAAATGAAAGCCTCTGCAATACAAGGTCTGTTATTTCATCCTCTACAAAAAAAAAAAACACTTGAAATACCCTTCATTATCTCATGTTTGTGATTCCTCCCCAGCTGCCCATGCCTCCCCCCCCCAAAAAAAAACCCTTACCATGTATTTATTTTGTTTAATAATAATAATAATGATGATAGCTAACATTTATAAAGCACTTACCATAGGCCAGACACTATGCTAACCTTTTTACACTTACTACCTTATTTGATCCTCACAACTACCCTAGGAAGCAGGAATTATTATTATCTCCATTTTAAGTGACTTGTGCAGGGTCACACAGCTAGTGTCTGAGGCTAGATTTGAACTCAGGTCCTCCTCATTCTAAGCCTCCGGCTATATGTGCTTACTGCTTATTTATTGCTTTCTCTCTTTTTTTTTTAAAGTGAGGCAATTGGGGTTAAGTGACTTGGCCAGAGTCACACAGCTAGGAAGTATTATGTGTCTAAGACCGGATTTGAACTCAGGTGCCCCTGACTCCAGGGCCGGTGCTCTATCTACTGCGCCACCTAGCTGCCCCAGTATTTATTGCCTTCTCTAATAGAATGTAAGTTTCTTGAGGGCAGGAACTATCTCATTTTGTCCTTGGCTGGCTCACAGACTTACTACAGGACTGATCCTGATTGTTGATTCATAACTAAACATGGAATTAACTGGAGAACAGGGAAGAAATGGATATCCTTTAGCAAAGATGGTAATATAATAGACCACCCCCCAGAAAAACTCAAAGAAATTACTGAAGAAGGAAACTCTTCTTACGCTGAATTTCCTTCTTCCCCAGCTGCTGGGACCAGTAGCTACCAAGAACGGCATGGGCAGACCCTTCACAAAAATGAAAGAGTTTCAAGACAATTCGGAAGAGAACAGCTGAGTGTTCCATAGTAAATGTGTTAAGGGGCTTTGACGCGAAAGCAATTCTCCCATGACAAAACTTCAGGTGATACAAAAGTGTATCATCCTGATGCTAGTAAAGCTATCCCCAGACTCCATACAGCCACTGCCCCCAGATCCAATTCACACATTTGAACAAGTGTGTTCTCGTACCCAACCGCAATCACATCATCCATTTGGCCCAAGACAGGACCACAATAGCTAGCCAGTCAGAAAGCAGCATGACCAGGATGTTTGACCACCAAACCATAGAAGGGACCCCTCCCCATTACCTAATCCCTTAACAAACCCCTCCTGCCTTTTTAATATTCATAATTGCTGGTGTATAATCAGCATCATTATACTATCAAGTTACCTATCTTGTCTTACTAAGTTCTGGGTTCCTCTTGGAACCTAGGTCGCTTCTGAGGGGTGTCTTCCTCAGTAAATGCCTATACTTGGATTACAAGTGGTCTGACTGAATTCTCTGAGACAATCCCCACGACACACCCAGAAACCGCAACAATCTCTCCCCCCCATCCCAAAGTAAGCATAGTGATCAGAACACAGCAGATGCTTAGGTTTGCTGAACAGTTATGGCTAATATTTATACTGAGGATTTCTATATAAAAGAATGAATTAATGAATACAAGACAATATGATGGTGCTGGATATACCAAGAGTCCTAAGATTTGGAAAGGGCAGATGATATGGACCCACTCACGAAACTGGCTGCCAAGTCTAATGAATTCCCAATCTGGCCCTCGCTGGGTCAGACTTGTAATCAATGCCAGTGGCCTCTCAATCCTGCCTCCCTCCATGAGATACCCTCTTAATTGTCTCCCTGTGCCAGGTCTCTCTTTATTCCAAACCATTCTGCCCCCACCCCAGTTACCAAAGTGCAGTTGCTAAAACATAAGTCTTACCATGTTGCCCCATTGCTCAAAAGACTCCAGTAGCTCCCTATTACCTCTAGGACAAGAAGAAAGCCTGGACCTGGGATTTCACTGTTATTCGGGAACTCCCAGGGGAGAAAATTCCCTCTGCCAAAGTGAGTTAGCACCTTCTCTACAACAGAGAGAGTAGTCTAGAGCCCTGAAAGGTGATGAGATTTGGCCAGAGTAGGGCAGGGGTGGGACTTCAATGGGGTCTTTCTGGCTCCCAGGTCCCTATATCCACTATAGCACACTGCTTTCACAACTTCTAGGATGAAATGCTTACTCTTCCATTTGATTTTCTTAGGTTTGGGGTTTTTTTGAGGTAATTGGGGTAAAGTGACTTGCCCAGGGTCACACAGCTAGAACTCAGGTCCTCCTGATTCCTCACCTTTTGCCTGGACCATTGCAACTAGTCTGTATTTGGTTTCCCTGTTTCCAGGGTCTCCTTTCTCTAATCCATCCTCTCCATAGCTGCTAAAATGATATTCCTAAAACACAGTTCTAACCATGTCTCTTTCCTGCTCAAGAAGCTTCTGTGGCTCCCTATTACCTTTAGGGTAAAACATAAACTTGTCTGTCTGGCAGCTGAAGCCCTTCATAGCCTAGCTACAAACTACCTTTCCCGCCTTATTATATATCTTTCACATATGAACATTTTCTTTGCTGAAAGGGGCTCAAAAAGAACATTTGTGTGAAAAAATAAAATGATGATATGGTTTGAGGAACTGAGAGAAAAATGCCCCTCAGATAAATGTGCTAAGATGCATGGTATCGACTGATCTCTAAATGAGATCACTGGCATCCTAGAGTCATAGGTTGTTCTGGGCACATGAATTTCTTTACCCATGTCCTTGCCCAGTTCTTCTAAATGTGTGCAACTAACTCCCCCTGAATACTCTGTGCATTGGTGGGAGAAAGTGACCCAGATTTATGGATGGTTGATTATGTTATTGTAGTGATTTTGCCTTCTATTGAATAAATATGATTATTATTGTTGCTGCTTTTACCTTAATGTTTAGTAAATGTTTCATATTTAAGAGTCAATGTGTCATTGAGATTGATTTTGTGTAGCTAGAAAGCACATCAGTGGGGGCTCAGGAATTATAGTGGAGAGTAGTAAGAATGTATTTTCTGGGGCAGCTAGGTGGCACTGCAGATAGAGTTCCGACCTTGGAGTCAGGAGGACCTGAGTTCTTGACACTAGCTGTGTGACCCTGGGCAAGTCACTTAACCCGGATTGCCTTACCAAAAAGCAAAAACAAAAACAAAAACCAAGAATGTATTTTCCCCACACAAGGGTTATTTCTAGATCTCTGACAGTTGAATTGTAATCATTAGACCTGCTAGTACAGATGCTGGTGGGACGAACAAAACAGTCCAAGAACGGAGAGCTTGGAGTGAGTTGGGGCCTATGCCACTCTCAGGCTCACTCTAGAGCCCAGCCAAACTGGCCGTCTCGCTGCTCCTCACATGATCCTCCATCCCTTGCACTGCTTGTCCCCCAGGCCTAGAATATCCCCTTTCCTTACCTCTGCTTCTTACAATCTCTAGTTTCCTTTAAAGCTCAGCTCAGGGGTCACCCTGAAGGAAGGGAGAGGCGCTTCCTGATTCTCTCCCTTCCCCAAGCTTTGAGGGTCTTCCTGCCCCAAATTACTGCACATTTATTTTGTACTTCTCTGGTATATGTGTTTATCTCTATATGTTTGTGTGTATGTGTGTACACACACACACACACACATACATGTAGACACACATGTTTTCTCCCTCAATATAATGTAAGTTCCTTGAGAGTAGGGATGGTTCCTTTTTTGGTCTCTGGATCCTGGGCCTGGCACATAGTAGGTATTTTAAAATACTTATTTATGGATACTCCCCGGGTGACCTTGTACAAGTTATAGAACTGCTATGGGCCTCAGTTTCCTCATCTGTAAAATGAAGGAGCTAGAAGGGAGGCTGTCTGAGAGTCCTTTCAACTCTATCTGAAACCCTATGATCACTTCAAAGATGGGTGGATTGAGAGAGAAGATCTTTAAGTGCTACGGGAGGCAGAGACATCGCCAGCTAGGAAGGGCTGCCGTGACAATCCCTTTGTGTCGGTGGGCTGGCTGAAGGCTCTCCAGCCAGCTCAGCAGCTGTGCAAGGCCCCCCCAGAACTCCCCCTCACCAGGGGAGGGAGGGCTGGCAGGGGGATGGTTTTGTGGTTACTGTATTTTCCTGAGTCCTTCAGACTGCTTAATTGCTGAGCTCCACCTTTTGGAGCAAATGCTGCCTTCATGTGTTCTGTTCCTGGGGGAGCAGCAAGGTCCTGCCGCCGGCCAGGCCTCTGCCACCTGCCACTGGCCTCTGACTCCCAGTCTGCAGCAAGCAGGGCCTGAGCTGGGCCCACACTCGCCTCTGCAGCCTTATCGGTCATAGCTTCACCTGTGTCTGCCCCTGGGCTCGCCCTTCTAACGTGGGAGAGGGATGTGGACAACCAGCCCCAATGTCACTGCCCTGCTTCCTATGCGGTGAGAGGGGCTCCCGAGGCCTCGTTTGGTTTCCAAAAGGAGGAGGGAGCGACTTAAGGGTCATTTGGTCCAGCCTGTCCATTTTACACAGGAGGAAAGCAGGCCTGGAGAGGCGAATCCAATTCACTTAATGCTTACATTCTACTGAGAGTAGCGAAGTAAATACAAAACAACTACAATGTAAATACAGGCTAATTCTGGGAGAGATAGTTTTAAGGGGGGAGAGAACCAGGAAAGGCATCAGGCAGGCCAGGGCACTGCAGGTGAGCCTTGGAGAAAGCCAGGGAGGCTGAGAATTGACTGGCAATGAGGCCAGGGAGCAGCAGCCATTGGAAGGGGAGCCTGAGAACACCAAGTCTGCCCGTCTGACAGGAGCAATAGCACGCAAGCAGCCTGGAAGAGTGATCTGGGGCCAAATGGGGGTGGGGTGTCAACACCAATGGCGACAAGGGGGCATTAGAACTTCTTGCTTGGATATCAGTTTATAAGTATGTGGAGAGTGGATGGGAGCAGGGGGTGCTCAGGGTCGTTAGTCCGAGATCAGGGAGACCCGCTCTTCAAGCAAACGGGAGGAGCAAAAAGGCACAAGCCATCTCTGGTTCTCTACCCCCTCTCAACCCAGCTTGAGCGCTGATCTGCACCCTTCAAGTCAAGGGTCATTTCATAAATTCTTACTATCTGCTCCGAGAATGGTGAAGATGGACTTCATTCAAGGAACATCTATTAAAGCACCTACTGCGGGCAGAGCAAAGCAGGCACAGACTTATGGAAGGAACAGAGAGAAGATCTGGGAGGACTTCTGGGGATGTTTGCATCTGAAATTTTCAGAAAGAAATTCTCATTTGAAGCCTTTTATCCAGTGCCTAAGTGAATTACTTGGGGCCTGCTAGGTACGTGGGTCGGGGGCGCAGCCAGAAATGTCGGATCAGTGCCGTCTTGGCCTTTCCCTGCATCCCCAGCATTTAGCACAGCCTGGGGGGGGGGCCCTCGGGAAGTGTTTGCTCACTTGATTTGCTAAGGGTGCGTGAATCAGGGTGCTCCCCCTGCTGACTCCCCACCTCCAGCACAAACTCACCTGTGATGGGGTCTTCCCTTATACCAAGCCAGGGGGCAAAAAATCTGGAGTAGAAGTCATAACCTTGGGTCTTTCCGCCTCCCTCGCCCTTCACGGTGAGCAAGAGTCCCTGCACTTTCCCTGTACTGTCAATCTCTGTCAGATTCCTTGTGTTCACTTCCAGGTTCTCTAGGAAGGACCTTGTAGAAGGATGGAGAGGCAGCATCATATATTTTGCACCCTTGCCAGCCCCTGATACTATTAAATAGGCACGGTTCTGTACAGGGTCCCACCTATACCTCCCTTACTTGTTATATTCCCCATCAGAGAGAGAGAGGGGAAAGAGAAGGACCACATGAGACCAAGTCGCTCTTTACTAAAGAACCTCTAGTGAGCAAAGGGATGGCCAGTCTTACTGTATGAGCCACAAAGAGGCAAAGACAGAGGAAAAATCTCTGGAAACTAAGCAGTCCAAAATGTGCTTACGCTATTAGAAAAGCATGTGGGGCAATAAATCATGCCTCCTTTTCACAAGTCATGGGTCACTTATGCAAAGGACAATGCAAGGACAGAGGCACACGGTGACTAGAAGCAGCCCAGGGCATATGGTCAATGACATCAAATTCATGCACCCCCTGAAAACGGGGCGCTATCCCAAAAATATAGCACTGGTGCCTAGAAAATGCTAAAAAAATGCAACAAAACAGAAACCCTGGAGGAACGCTTATAGCATGTTAAGTGTGTCTCTAGGGGGAATTTACAGAGACGGAGGCCAGAAATTACCCAGGATGAGAAGGCATGGAGGGGCTAAAATCAGCTCCCAGGCAGGGAAGCCTCAAAGTTTACCTTCCATGAGAGTCGTCAATCCGAACAAGGAGGTACTTGGTGTCTGGAGAATAATGGACATCCTGAACCAGCACATTGCCCAGCACCACCTGGTGAGGAGTTGAGATAAGGGGCTTCTCAGGACGGAGTCACCGGCCACCCTCCGCTTTTACAGCCCCCAGCAGCCCATGGGACCAGTAACGCCAGAGGGACGAGGACCCCCAAGAGCCTTTCCTGCTGCCATCTTGCTCACACGGCTAGCTCGGTTCATGCCTGAACTCGGTCCAGGCATTCTTCACCTTCTTTAGACCCTTGTGACAGTCTGGCGAAGTCTGCAGACCCCATTTCAGAATTTGGACTGGCCGAGGTTCTATTTACCCTTCCCAAATCTGTGTTTTACCGATAATAAGTAATACTCATCCTGGGAGCTCACAGCTTGAGCTGAGAACCAACCTTGATTAAGTCCTGGACTTCTATAACATCCTAGATTAAAAAACAAAAACAAAATCCATTTAAAATGTGCTGCTACACGTAGCACACAGAAGATGGTTATAGCCAACCGATGATCGACCTTGGGATGGGTGGGACAAAGTGGCAGATCCATGATGATCCCGTCTTCTGCCCGTCTGGCTTTCAGTTCCCCACTTAGAGTGACAAAAGTTAGAGCTGGATTCATGTTTTCTGCCAAAATAAAATACTATTTTTAATTGAAAAAAAATCAAGACAGAAGAAAAAAAGCCTCTTACTCTTTTGTCATGAGAGACTGTCTTTTTAGTTTTTTTTAACCCTTGATTCACAGCTGGGCATCTACGTAGGCAGATGGTGGCTCCATAGAGAGAAAGCTGGGCCTGGAGTCAGGAGACCTGATGTCAAATCCTGCCTCAGTTTTCTCATCTGGGAAATGGGTATAAAAGTAGCTCCCATCTCACAGGGTTGTTGAGAAGATGGAGTGAGATAATAATTTAAAGAGCTTAGCATGGTGTTCGGCCCACAGTAGGTGCTTCTGTTCACCACTGTGCCTTCCTGCTTCTTCTCTGCCTCTGCTTTCTATCCTCCTCCCCCAAGCCCCACCTAATCCCTACTCATCCTTCACACCCCAGTTTCTTCATGAAGATTTCCCTCATTGGCCAGCCAGCAGACTGACCTCCCTTCTCCAAACTCCCACAGCCCTTGATCTGCAACTAGAAATACAGGACTTAGTAATGAAAAAGATCTTAGAGTTAGTTCATCTGGTCAAATCCATTTCACAGGTAAGGAAATTGAGGCCCAGAAAGGTCTAGTGACATCATCATCATCCTCAGAGAAGCTACGTTTATATAGCTCTTCAAGGTGTGCGATGTATCTTACAAATATTATCTCAGTTCATCCTCTCTCAACAATCCCGTTGTGTAATTTCAGTCCTGTCTGACTCTTTATGATCCCACTTAGGGTTTCCTTAGCAAAGATACTGGAGTGGTTTGCCATTTTCATTTTACAGATGAGGAAATTGAGGCAAACAGGGTTAAATGACTTGCCCAGGGAGGGTCACACAGCTAGTATCTTGAGGCTGGATTTGAACTCAGGAAGAGGAGTCTTCACGAATCTAGGCCTGGCACTCTATGCACTATGGTGCCACCTAGCTACTCTAGAAACCCTTCGACGCTGGAGCTATTGTCCCCAGTTTACAGATGAGGAAACTGAGGCAGAGAGAGGTTAGGTGACTTGGACCCAGGATCATCTGGCCAATAATTGTCCAAGGTGGGATATGAACTCGTGTCTTCATGACTCCACGTCCAGGACTGCAATGTCTGGACTTACCCAGAGCCTCCTAGAAAGCCTTCTTGAATTTTCTCATTCCATCTTGTGCTAAAGATTTGAGCATTTAAGGGCAAGAACTGGGCTGAAACCTTCTTTACTTTTACTCTATGAACTTGTCTCTCCATTAGAATGGAATCTCATTAAGAGTGGGGATTGTTTTGTCCTTTGTATTTGGGTCCAAATTTTTGTTTGTTTTTGGTGAGGCAGTTGGGGTTAAGTGACTTGCCCAAGGTCACACAGCTAGTAAGTGTTATATGTCTGAGGCCAGATTTGAATTCAGGTTCTCCTGACTCCAGGGCTGGTGCTCTATACACTGAGCCACCTAGCTGCCCCAACTTAACAAATTCTTAATTGAGCCTCAGTGGCTAAAGTCCAGTCTCTTTGTGTTCTTGTCAGCATCTAGTACTTCCCACCCTGGGGAACCTCAATAAATATCGGTTATAGGAATGAACAGAGGATTGGTGTGATTTGTTCTTAATCCAAGATCATTTGGTGTTTCCAGAGAGAGAGAGAGAGAGAGAGAGAGAGAGAGAGAGAGAGAGAGAGAGAGAGAGAGAGAAGAACAAAGATACATTACTTATTTTGTGGAATAACATGGCAGAGGAAGCCAATGTAGCATGACCACAGAAAGGAGCCTCAGTCGTAGGAGTGAACTACCTTAGCCTGAATCAGGAATCTTTGTTGAAAAAGAAAGGGAAGGTTAGTGATTCAGTGAAGTCCGCTCAGCACAATCTGGCCTGCTTCTGCTGCTGTTTTCTAAAGATTTTCCCAAGATGCATTTGGGGCAGGAAAATGTTCTAAAAGCTAAAAGACAAACACTTCCTTTTCTTTTTTTCCTTTTGGCAATTGGGGTTCAGTGACTTGCCCAGGGTCACACAGCTAGTAAGTGTCAAGTATTTGGTCTGAGGCTGGATTTGAACTCAGGTCCTCTTAACTTCAGGGTCAGTGCTCTATCCAGTACACCACCTAGCTGCCCCTAAGACAAACACTTGAAGACTGTCCGTGCCTTAGAGCTTAAGACAACATGGTACATAGGAGGCTGAATCTTACAGCCCAGAGGAATACCGAGGGCATATGACAATTCCCCAGGAGACGAGCTTAAAGGAAATCCCTCCACTTTGACAATTCAATACCCACATGAAAAACAAAAAACCTTTCTCTTTCAGATCCTAGGTCCTCTCAAAGGTGAAGTTGCTCCAAGGATGTAAAAACTTGCTCACTTTGGGTAAAGTTGCCTGTTGGATGGAGCTTCTGGATAAAAGCTGTTTCAGAATGTTTCATTTCTCTTGCAATTTTTTGGCACGTTTCATCATCCAGTTCCTAAATTGGGGGGAAGGTCCAGAAAATACCCTTCAGGCTTCCTCAGTACTGGGTACCAGGCACAATAATACCACACATTAACAGAGAAATAGTGAATCAGGGAAATTCTATAGATAAAAATTCTTTAATCTGGTACCAGATGGAATAGCCAACTGTGATCTACACTGGGGTTAGGACAGGGAAGATGAGGGAAAGAACACAATCTCAAAAGAGTATGGATCCATTGAAGCCTTGAAAGATCATATGGGAATTGTTGCTAAGGAATTCAAGACACTTACAGAAATTCTACAACAGAAACGCATGTTCACAGGGCATCTTTCCATAGAAAGGACATCAGGAAACCTCTAATCCAGCCCACACCTCCTTTTACATAGAAGGAAGTATGAGATCACAGACAGAAAGCTGGAAGGAATCCTAGAGACGGCCTAGTCCAGTCCTCTGAGGAGAGCCCAGCCCTTAGGAACACAGCAGCATTTCCCATGTGGATTCTAGACAGCCTTAGACGGGTATTCTATGACTGTTTCTTTTCTGCCTACCAAGCTGTGGAGGAAAGGCTTTTGGGATGGTTTCTGAGGCAGGAATGGGCACAAGAGCCCCCAACAACTCAACCTTGTTCTCTTTTCTGCCTGGCTGCATTCAAGTGAGGAGGTAACAGCTGCTGTAAGCCTCCAGGTGGCTGAAAGGAAGCCACCAACCCGTGGCCCTACTGTGGCTTCTGTCTCCGGTGTATCTTTTATTTCCTGATTTCGAAGAAGGAATATTGAGGTGGCAAAGACCAGTCTGCAAGTTTGTGAGCTTCAAAAGGTCGGAAGAGGAAGCTGCTACAGGTGCAGCCACTGGAGCGGGTGTGGGAGCAAAGCCCCGAGTGACCTGGCTTAACCCAGCACAGCCAAGGATGGAAGGCAGCTAAGAGTGGGTGGCTTCATCCATTTGACAGGCTGCTTTTAGAAGTGAACTGGGTGATCGGTTAGGGAATGGCCGAACAAGTCGTGGTGCATGATTATGATAGAATATTATTGTGCTATTGGAAATAATAAGCAGAATGGTTTCAGGAAAAACCTGGAAAGATTTACATGAATTGATGCAAAGTGAAATGAGTAGAACCAGGAGAACATTGTACACAGTAATAGAAATATTGTAAGATGAACAACTGTGAATGACTTAGCTATTCTCAGCAATACAATGATCCAAGATGATTACAAAGGGAATACAAAATACCATAAAAGACAAAAAAGGAAAATGTCCTTTTATAAAAAGTGATTGATGGTAATTGGTTAGATGACACCGGAGCCCTAATCACCAGGTCAATGAATAAGGGAGATAAGTGTAACTGGCGATGGATGGTGGAAAGGACATAGTGGAATGGGGGCTTGAGCCAGTAATCTTAGAAAGATACCCTGAAAGGCCAAGAGGGCAAAGTAGCCTTGCTCTGAGAATTCAGCTGGCCAGCAGGAGTGAAATAGTAGCTCCAGGGCTTCCACGGGCTACACAAAGATGAGGAATCTGAATCCCACAAGGAGCTACACAGGGAATGTTTGAGAGATAGACTTTGAACCTGGACCCTCTGTTTCCAATCTAATACAACTTTCACTCCTCTGTGCTAGCTCACGATTGGCCTCTTGTCTTTAGATAGTTCCATACCTAAAGTATCTAGGACAGACTGTCTGTGCTCTTCCAGAGACTCTATAACCTCCATTCCCATGTTAAATCAGGATGAAAAAAATCATCCTTGTTAGGGTACACTGAAGCCTAAAGACTACGGGGCTTCATTAAGTCACATGAAGGACTATATGGTACATGTTGTATAGGGACTTTGTAGGCAAATACAGAAGTGGAGGACATGGTCCCTTCCATTAGGAGCTGACAGTCTCATCGGAGAGTCAGTCAAGCCATAGATATATACATTAATTAATCAATCAATTAATTAACAAGGGTTTGTTATGTGCTATTTACTATGTGACAGAGTTTCGATAGTAGATGTCTCTTTCCTCCCACACCTTCGGACCCTAAGAATATTCTGGAGCAGCACGCTGCCCCTTTGGGCATCCGCCATGACTGGCCAACATCCTTCTCATCTTCATTCACTCTCTGGCCAATGCCTCCTCCCCCAAGGCCTACAAACAAATTCAGGTCTACCCTACCCTTAAGAAACCTTCAACGAACCCTGTCAAATATTGTTTTCAACCTCTCTTCCCTTATCTCCACCTCCTTACTGCTCACTTACTTTTCACCCTCACGCAATCTGTCTTCTAACACTTCTCCCTGACCCCAGAAACCGCTCTCTACAGTTACTGGTGGACGGTCATTCAACTGTTCCCCAGTCACCATCCCTCTCGATCTCTTTTCAGAATCTGACTTGACTGATCAGTCCTTTCCTTTGGCTCACCCCCGACCTGTCTGAACACTACTTTAAAGTCTCCATTGCCGCTTCTTAATCTCTGCCCTACAACCCAGGTCTCTGTCGTGGGGGTGTTTCTCTTTTCTCTCCACCTTCTCTCCCTTAGTGATCTCATTGGTCTCCATGGCTACGTAGGTATATGAAGTAAAGAATATTATTGTGCCATAAGAAATGACAACATGGGGCAGCTAGGTGGTGCAGTGGACAGAGCTTCGGCCTTGGAGTCAGGAGGACCTGAGTTCAAATACAGCCTCAGACACTTGACACTAGCTGTGTGACCCTGGGCAAGTCACTTAACCCTGATTGCCTCACCAAAAAAACCCAAAGTAATAAATAAAAAAATAAAAAGAAGTGTTCTGTAATGTGGCATCAGCTGCATTTATCCACTGGCCAATCCATAACTCCATAAGGTTAACTGAGGAATTCCTTTATATTTTGCTGTCCAGCAGTAGAAGAGTTTCTCCTTTTTACCTTGCTAAGACACTTATGCCAAAATATGTCAACATTTCAACTTAACAGCCCACAAAAGCTGTCCAGAGCCTTGTTCCTCCACTCCCCTCCCAACTGAGGCCTTCATACTTGCTTCTCCCTAAGAGCTCAGGCCCACTCCCACCCTCTGTGACCACTAGTCTGGCCTTGTCATCATGGAGTACCTCTGAAAGCAGCTCACTCCCTATTGAGCTCTGTTCCTTGCACCCCCAGTGCCTAGCACAGTGCCCAGCATACAGTAAGCGCTTAATAAACGCTTGTTGACTCAACAGATGGATGAACACACCCGGGGATACACCCAAGAACTTTTGGTCTGGGATCCTCACCCCTGACTGCCAAGGACTGAGCAAACAAACAAACAAAAAAATAAATGAAAGCCTCCTAACAAACATACAGAGTGCAGCCACACGCCGGGCCGCAGTAGCCATATTCGGGAATGTATGTCTCCTTCCGCATTTGAAATCCATCACCTCTCCAGCACAGGGTGGGCAGGGAACTAATCCGCACAGCCCACATTTTTGTTATCTCAAGTCTTGTAACCTTTGCCCATTTCTCAGGTGTGAATGTTTATGCTGAACATGTACCACCCCATCTGCTCTCCCTGAGTGGGCAGGAGCTGACCCCACTGGAGGCAGGTGGCGGACTTTATCTTCAGTCCTCCAGACTCACGATTTGTCATTGCACTGACACGACCTTTCAAAGTTATTTTTCTCTATAATGTTGTTGTCATTGGATAAATTGTTCCCCAGTTCTGCTAATTTGGATGTGCAGTAGCATAGTAGTGGCATAGCTGGGTCAAAGGTCATACAAAGCTTTGTAGGCCTTACAGCCCTCACATTTATAAATGTTAGCTGTCCAAGGTAAATAAAGAGGTAAGTGGCTGGGGGGGTGCTATGACTGACAGGGGGAGAATTAAATCTTGAGAGCTGATGGTCACTTAAGAAATTCGCAATAAGCACCTACTATGTGCCATGCACTGGAGATGAAAAGACAAAGGCCAAATGATTCCCATCCTTAAGGAGTGTATACTCCATCAGGGAAAAAAAAATACACTTATATGTTGGCATAAAATATATACGTACAAAGAAAAAAAAAGATGTTGGGTGAATAGGTGAGAATTATCCATTCAAAGCAATGACCCACAGTCATTACATGTGTGTGAAAACCCGTGGTGCTAGAAAGGATTCAGGATTTGGAGTCAGAAGACCTGGGTTCAAATCCCAGTTCTTTGCACTTAGGATCTTGAGGAAGTCACTTTGGTTACCCTGCCTACCTTATCTGTGAAATGAAGGGGTTGGACTCCACCTCTAAGCTTCCTTCCAAGTCTCTGTTTTAATAAATGCTTTTTCTAATGGAATCATCCTCCATGGCAATGGATGGAAACTGTGACCGACAACTGAGTCAGACTTCGAGGGACAAAAGTAAGGGAATGTTTGTTCTCCTAGGCTCCCCTTCATTGGTCACTCTGAATCCATCATCATATGATGGGTCAACTGGGCCCGCCAAAATGGTATGGCTCAAGCAGAGAGGAAAGTTTGAAAATGCTGCCATCTGGTGGCGGTCTGGAAATACAACTCCTCTATAACCCTATGGGATGTGAGTGATCCTGACCCCTTAAATGTTAATGAAGATGATATGTTGTTGGAGATGACATGGCTGTCAGGATCACAGGCATTGTGTCTTCACTGGTTAGCACTTAATTACAAATGGTCCTGAATTATTCTGTAATTGTCTGTTGTGTTAAATCTAGTCTCCCCAGTTTGATCATTAACTCCTTATGCGTCTCAGCCTTTGCTTGTATGCCCCCCCCATGATGTGGAATGCATCATAGGTATTAGCGAGATGGCTCAATGGATAGAGCACTAGGCCTGGAGTCAGGAAGCCCTGAATTCAAATCCAGCCTAACATACTAACTAGCTGAGTGACCCTGAGCAAGTCACTTAATCTCTGTTTGCCTTAATCCACTGGAGAAAGAAATTACAAACCACTCTAGTATCTTTGCTAAGAAAACCCCATGGACAGTGTGGTCCAAAGGGTCATGAAGAGTTGGACATGATTGAACAACAACTAATATTTATTAATCAAGTCTTACAGGAAGGGTTTCACCACAATTTTAATGGCTAAAATTATAATTTCTATTTCCTTCTTCCCTGTGCTTTACTCCAGAGCTTTAGTCATGATATTGTTTCAAATTTTCTGAAAACCTTCCTCTGCTTTTGCTTCCAAAGGTCACTCTTTTTTTTTTCCCTACAGTAATTCTTTATTTGCTAAATTATTATGAACTTAACTTTGAACATCAGCAAAACCAAATAAACAAAAGTATTTACATTTTTCTTTTTTTTTAATTTTTAAAAACATTTTATTTAAAGTTTTGAGTTCCAAATTCTACCCCTCCTTCCCTCCCTCCCCTTCCCCTTCTCTGAGACAGTAAGCAATCAGATATAGGTTATACATGTGCAATTATATGAAACATTTCCATATTAGTTCAAAGGTCATTCTTTCATTCAACAAACAAGTATTAAGTACTTACTTTGTGCTCAACAGCCCACACCTTACTGTTTTCGAGAAGCTTACAGTCAAATGTGAGAGTATTTGTTTCAGCCTCCACAGGCTTTTATGAAGTACTTACCATAAGCTTAACATAGTGTTGGTATTGGATATACAAAGATGAAAAAATCAAAAAGAAACAACAGGTATACCAAAAGTCAAGGCAATAAATAGTTTTTGGTGGGGAGGTGACCACTAATAACTGGAAGAATCAGAAAAAGATTCTTTGGAAGATTTTTTTGAGTTGATCCTTGAAGGGAGCTCAGGATTCCAAGAAATAGGAGAAGGGAGAGTGGTCCTGTATGGGAGATGGCCATTACAAAGGCACCATATGCCCCATTTGGGGAACAGCAAACATTAGTTTGACTAGAAGCTGAGAAGTTCACTCAGGATCAGTTTCTTTATCTATAAATGAGGTTGGTTTCTGGAATTCATTACACCTCTGGAGTTAGAAATCCTGATTCAGAGCTGGGAAGTTTGTCAAAGATATTGTCCTTTTATATTTGCACGGTCATTGTGTCAATTCTTTTTCTAATTCTGCTCATTTCACTGTACATTACATCAGTTCATACAAGTCTTCCCAAGTTTCTCAGAATTTTTCATACTATCATTTGTTCCTGTTAATGGAATTGCCCCTCTTGTGAGTCAGACTTACCATGAAGCTTGAAATGCCCAATCAAACCTTTGAAAAGGCTCACAATCACTAGCATACTTGTGTCTGTATTTCTTGAGTGAAGGTAATGAAAGACTGTAGAACTTGTTCTCCTCACAGAACTCTGGTCTGGACTCCAAAATCGTTGTATTGTCTTCCATTTGTGGGCTGGTCCTGGGAACTACTGGGAACTACTCTGGCTCTAGGGAATGACTGTAATCCACTTTCCCCCCTCCCTTCCTCCTTGTGATTTATGTATAAAATCTCTGTCTTCACTTCAGCCAGGAGGAATTCTGATCAGAATTATCAATTTGCAAATCTTTTCCTCATAATGAAACTAATTAATTAAAAGGCTACCTGATTACTGGCACTTGTCTCTGGCCTGCTGTTTCATCATTCTCAGGTTAGAGACTGGCTCAGTAAAATCCTGTTAACATTAAATTGAAAGAATATTCCATTATATTCACATACCACAATTTGATCAGCTATTTTCCATCTGATGGGCACAATTACAGTTTTTCATATAAATCTATCATTGTCATTGTCCTCGGATCTAGCCTAGCTCTGAGCATTCTTGATCAAACTGGATCACAACCAGCATGCCGATACTTGAACTAATAAACACAAGGACAGGCGTCTGGGAAGGTATATTTTTTAGGGAGGACAGAGGCGTTGGGAAAACTGTTCCATTAAAAAAATTTAGAAAAACAAAACAATTTACATTTTCTAGGAGGCAAACAGCGGCAGGGTTCCCCCGGAACGCTTCGCTAGTAAAAGCATCTACTACAAATATAGGGAGCTGCATCTTCCCCGGCACACTGCTTCTCAAAAACTCTCAAAACTGCGGAGTGAGGAGGTATCAAGTCGTTGTTTATATAATCAAAATGTTAATGATTCACTCGTTGCATAAGAGGACCTTTGGCCCATGGAAGGATAACATTTAGGTAATTTAGCTTTCCTGAAAAGTTATCTTTTTAATTTCTAAGGCAGGCTGGCTTAATTACATGACAGTTTTCCTCCAGATACCCACAGTCTGAAGTCTGAGCCACCTTTAATGAAGCGGGCAGAAAATTCAGGAGACAGCTGAGACTGTTTTGGGGCGGGCGGACGGGCATGACTTCAGAGCCCAGGGATGCGGTGGGTAGGTCTCCTTGACGTGGACTCAGCAGAGGACAGGCGGCGTGGCTCTGACTTTCTGCTGACCGTGGCCTTGCCATAGAAGGTCGCTCCTCTGTACGTCCCCCATTGCTTGCCTATGGCTCTTGTCATGCCACGGTCCTGGGAGGGTGGCTTTGCACAACTGAACTGAGACCAAAGCGAGGGATTTCCATAACAAGTCTTAAACAAGGAATGGACGAACGAAGCGTTAGTTAAGCGCTCATTGTGTGCAAAGGGCTGTGCTTTGTAAGTGCAACATAATGAACCAGTACAAACATTCTGAGAGGCTTCCCTGGTTTGTCTCTACGTAGACAACAGGCAGACAGGCTGGGACAAGTCTTCCCTTGCCTTTAATCCGGCCCGCTCCCTTTCACCTTTTGCTTTGGGGGAAGGAGGAGGGGAACCCAAGGCAACGAAGGACTCCATGTGCTCAGAAGTAGAGAAAACTACATTTCCCATGAACCAATGGGTTATGAAACCCTAGCGCTAGATTGGAGAAGAGCGTGACCTTGATTTCCCAGACGGCGCTGCTGTCGGAAGCTGGTCTCTGATTGGTGGATAGGGCTCAAGGTAGGCTCTGATTGGTGAGGAGAGCGCCGGAGAAGGGGTTTGTGGCGAGACACGCTGCGTACAGGAAGTGATTTCCCGGCACGCCGCCACTCTTAAGCTAGTTGTGTCGGGGCCGCCGGCTGCGGTGCCATTCATCACCGTTTGCGGTGTAGCGCCCGGACCATGAGGCAACTCGCCCCCTGCCTGCCCCGGGCTGCGCTGCTCTCGCGCGGCCGGCCGCCTCCCTGGAGCGCCGCGCGGGCCTGGCTGGGCGCCGCGTGCCCGGAGAAGGCGGCGGCGGTGGCGGCGGCGGCGGCGGCGGCGGCGGCGGCGGCGCCTGCGCCGGAGGACTGGGGTCCGGAGCCGGGCTCATGGCCCGAGCGGCTCGCGGACTTGGTGACGCCCCTGTGGCGGCTGGACTACGAGCAGCAGCTCCGGGTGAAGGCAGAGGCGCTGCGCGGCATCCTGGAGCGCGTCGAGGCTCGCCTGCGCGCGCTCGGGAGCCCGGACGCCGAGGCCGGGGCCCTTTGCTCGCGCCTGCAGCCCTTCCGGCCGTCCCCAGTCACCGACGGCTACCGAAACAAGTGCAACTTCGCCATCCGCCAGGGCCCCGACGGCCGGCCCCGCACCGTGGGCTACGTGCTGGGCTCCCGCCGCGAGCAGCAGCTGGTGTGCGTGCAGCCCGGGCACCTGAAGCACATCCCCGACCGGCACCAGCGCGTGGCCCGCTGCTACCAGGCCTTCCTGGAGCAGAGCCCGCTCGAGCCCTACCAGGAGCCGCACGGCCGCGGACACTGGCACGAGCTCACGGTCCGCAGCACGCGCCGCGGCCACACGATGGCCATCATCGCCTTCCACCCGCAGCAGCTGCGGCCCGAGGAGCTCGGGCCCCACAAGGAGCAGGTCAAGGAGTTTTTCACCCAGGGGCCCGGGGCCGATTGTGACTTGACCTCCCTTTACTTACAGGAAAACGCCCAGTGCGACCAACAGCAGCCCTGCTACCAGCTCCTGGCTGGGGAGCCTTACATTTTTGAAGACCTCCCGGGCCTGAAATTCCGCATCTCGCCAGGTGCCTTTTTCCAGATTAATTCAGCTGCTGTCGAGATTCTCTACAGGGTGGTGGGAGAGCTGAGCGGGGTGGACCCCAACACTCTTCTCCTTGACCTTAGCCAAGGAACTGGGGCCACCAGCCTCTTCCTGGCTCAGCAGACAGCTCAGGTCCTGAGCACGGGACTGGTGGGGCAGGCGGTGGAGGACGCCAGATGGACTGCAGCTTTCAATGGAATCACCAATTGGGAATTCCATGCTGACCAGGTAGAGAATATAGTGCCACAGCTTTTAAAGTCACAGGAGACTGGTCAGTCGTTAGTGGCTATGGTGGACCCATCCCGGACTGGACTGAATAGCCAGGTGGTCCAGGCCATTCGAATTGCAGAGCCATCAGGACGCTGGTTTTTGTTTCCTGCCACCCCAGTGGGAAGGCCAAAAGAAATTTCCTTGAGTTGTGTTGCCCCCCGAACCCTGGCAAGGATCTCCTGGGCGAGCCTTTTGTGCTGAGACAAGCTGTGCCTGTGGACATGTTTCCGCACACGGTCCACTATGAATTGGTGCTTCTCTTCACTAGGTGACTGAGTGACCTCCTGGAGCTCCCCTGATGTCAGGACTCTCTGCAGGCTCTCTCTGTAGAGGACTGAGTGTTAGATTGTGCCTGGTGTGGGAGGCCCTGGACTGACCATGCTTTCAGAAGCTAGCTAGTCCGACCACAGTCAAAGGGGCTTCCTGGCTGAATTTCCATGTCCTAGGTTGCATAAGTCAGTGCGCTGCTTTGTTCAAAGCAGGCGTTTGATACGTGATGATTGAATGAGACAAGAAAAGGGTTTGAGGTGGGGTTACCAAAGAGTGGTGGCATCGACGAGTTTGGGGCTGTTGGGCAAACTGCTGTTGATCCCAAGTCAAATTGAGCCAGGGAAGGAGACAGCTTAGCGGCTATAGAACTGTGGCCACTGGCCTGACGCTGCCTGAGCTATGGTGCTGGAGCTGCGCCGCCCCCCCCCCCCCGGTTCCATTCCCCTACTGTTGGCTGTAGAAAAATAATAGCCTGATCTTACTAGGTTGTTTTTTTGATCAGTTGTTTCCAGCTCTACCCCATTGGGGGTTTTCTTGTCAAAGATACTGGAGGGGTTTGCCATTTCCTTCCCCAGCTCATTTTATGGAGGGGGAACTGAGGCAAACAGGGTAAAGTGACTTGCCCTGGGTCTTCCAGCTAGGAAGTGTCTGAGGTCAGATTTGAACTCAGGATGATGAGTCTAAATGACTTCAACTACTGTATCACCTAGTTGTCACTTACTAAGTAGAGCTGAGTTCCAGCCATGGAGATGTTCCATACCTAAGCTTCTCTGAGACGGGGAAAGGAAGTGAGGCAGTACTCACAAAGAACGTTGGCTGTGATTGAGTTCTGTTACTTTATTGTTTATCCTTGTCCTAAATAAAAATTATTTTTTCCACAGTATTCCTTATCCTCCTCCAACAAGCACTGAGTATCTGCCATATGCCGAGCACCACCCAGGCTTTGGGGATACAGAACAATCCAAAGGAGCTTATGTTCTCCTGGAGCACAACCACGTGAACACATTAGGAAGTGCAAGATGTGTACAAAGTAATTTCTGGGGGGAAGGGACTCCAGCATCCCCCCTCTTCTGGGAGCACAATGACAGGGTTCATGGAGGAGGTGGTACTTGACCCCAGCTTTGAAGGAAGCTTGGCCTTCGAGGGGGACAGCCTTTGCAGAGGCATGGAGATTGAAGATGGGGAGCACGGGGCCAGTTTGGCTGGATCATAGAATGTCTGAAAGAGAATCACATTTAATAATCCTAGAAAGGTCATCTAGAGCCAGCAGAGAAGGGCTTGGAAGGCCAAACAGGAGTTTGTTTTATCCTAGAATGAACTTTTGAAAAAGCATTTTTTTTTTAAAGCACATACGATATGCCAAGAATTCTGCCGTCGATGATAGGGGCCCAGGGGAACTTCTTGGCATGGTCAGATCTGAGTAGACTTTTCAAAACACATGGAAGATTGGAGTGGAAAGATACTTGAGACAGGATGACCAATAAGGAAGTTATTGTTGTAGTCCAAGTGAGAGATAACAGGGATCTGAATGATTAGAGGCTAATGAAACAAGATTATAGCTTTAGATTTCTTTTTCTGTTCTTTAGTACTCTACTTATATGAGGACCAAGTACTATACCAGAGTGAGTGAAGACCATTGATACTTGGTGATTCATACAAAAATGTTCCAAGGAAAGACAACTCTTTACATATAAGAAGTAGAAATGTTAAAAGAAATACTATATTTCTATAGGAATTTCTGTAGGAATATATATACTGTATTTTACTATAGAAATGTTAAAAGTTAATTTTAAGAAAGAATTTGAACTTTTCATAGAATTTCCACATTAGCCATCCTCTGTCCACTAGATATTAAATTACGCTTTTCTTGTTGCAAGTCATTTGATCATTTTAATAAGCTCATTTGCAAGGTCCAGAAAGTCACTATATTCTAAAGATCCTTCCGTAGGCACGGGAGCTTAACCCTGGATGTGGGCTTTTTTAAAAGGCTATCTGTGCAGCAAAAACCGTTAAATGCAGTATCTCATTCCTGCTTCAGAAATGCACAGGCTCTGTTTTTACTTACTTGAGAGGAAACTTCCATAAAATGGAACTTTAAAATTGTATTTGATGTGGAAAGATTTCAGTAAAATTCTAACTCCATAAATTTTCATGGACTTTTTTCCTTAAAGGCATAATAACATTTTATTGTAATTTCTATTGCTGACTTAAAACTAAGGAAAGGAAAAAGGCATAGTTTTTGCTCTTTCATAATTAATAATTTAATTCTGCACAGGATATTGTCAAATTATGTTTTAATGTAGGATTAGAAAAATTACTTTGTCTGCCTTTTTTCTTCAAAGCTTATCTCAGGTTATAGTAACATTACTAAAATTTCATTCTAACATTTCTCCCCTGCAAATTTAAAATTTTTTTCTGATCACATAGTTGGAAATTTAATTTACCCTGAAAATGTCTGAACAGATGATTTTCTGTTTATCTGTTGTCTATATAG